CTAGTTTATTTTTAACTGGGTTATGTTTAACTAGATTATTTGGGATCTTATGCTAAAGTGCCACATTCCTTCTATCCAAATTAAAGGAAACTTTAGCTTGTCAAACTTTCTATAAGTTATGAAATTCAAGAAGTGAGACTGTTCCTGCCAGTTGCACTTGGAGTAATAATAGATAAGCGACAAACTAAAAGCAGTTCAGGCTAGGGACCAGTTGTGCAAATAACTTAATCTGTGATGGGAAGATTAATAGAGGGTTAGCGTAACCTTGTTTACTCTAAATGTACTTTGCTGCTGTTGTTCTTTTCCAGACCTTTTTACTAATCTGGGAGCAGTTTGAAGACACGAATCACCACAGCTACCATTCACACCATGGCTTAGCAAGCGGACTGCTTATTGTCCTCAGAGTTTGCCTAGCTTTGTCACTGACTGCTGGTCTTTACCAGATCATCACAGTGGAGAGAAGCACACTGAAAAGGGAGTTCTATATCACCTTTGCCAAAGTATGGGTTGCATCAGGGAAACTGATCCTTTCTGCTGTAAATATAATTGTGGCATGCAGTTGACTGAAGCACCAAACTCTTTTCTTCCATAAGAAAGTTAATGTTTAAGTGTCTGATTTGATTAAATTGCACCCTGTCATCAAACTCTGAGTAGTCATTTTAATTTGACAAGGAGTATAGAGCTTTTTTAAACAGAAATCCCACCTTTCATTGTGTGGTTTTCATTCTGTTGATTGAAAATTAAACAATGGGTTCATAAAATAGACAGAAATGTAAATGCAGTTCCTCTAACTGTCATCTCTTTCTTCTAAGCTGGCATGTAGTCATTTTATAACTTAAACTCATGTTTTCTTTCAGGCCTGCATTCTCTGGTTTTTGTGCCACCCATGTCTTGCAACCATTGCTGTAATATTCAGAGAATATCAAAGAGAAAAGGTATGTACAGGCAAGATAAAAGAGATGGAATTTGAATAGTAGTTGCTCTTCATGTTCAGTGTTTGTTAGCAAACTCATGCTCTTAGGCGGTTAATCTTATGACCCCAAAGCAACTTGAAAAGTCTTAGTCACACAGCTCTCATTGATGCTAATGTGAGTCATATTTTACAAAGGCATACAGGGTTTGAATCATCTAAGAGTAATAATTTCTTAGGTTAAGGGAGGGAGAGGGGGGAGACTGTTAAGTCAAAGGAAAATGTGGAGGGGGTGTTTTGTTTTATTGTTTGCTTGTTTGTGTTTTAATTAAAAACACGTTGGGGATTCTTTTAACAAAGCTAGTAGACAGATAAATCAGTGGATTTTTTTCTGTTATTTGCTTTTTCGTCTTCATCCTTTAAAAGCTTTATGTGGCTAAATAGGTCAAGGAAGCTATAGCTGAACTGTATCCTTTAGATTAAGAAATCTGTCCAACTGTGTAGTTTGGTTTGTAAACGCTAAACACTTAAAAACAAAGGTGGACTCCCTGGATTTCTCGGTTGCTTAAACATATTGGGAACTAGAGAACTAGTGTGTGGAGCCTGCCACATTCAGATAAAAAGCACTACTATTCTCAGGTGATTGACTACCTCATTCCAGAGTAGAGTTTGCTTCTTTTCTTTATGGTTATAACCATCTGTGAATTTGTATGCAAATATATTTGGAAATAGAGCTTTTATTTGTATAGAGGATGCGTAAGGGAAAGAAAAAGGTTCCACTAAAAATAGATAGTAAATTAAATACTTTGTTTGATTAAAAAAAAAAAGACATCTAAGGAGAAAAAGACTCCTCTAAAGCTACTAATGAGACTTTTAATCACAGCAAGAGAACATGAGAGATCAGTAAAGGAAACTTTTGCAATGTTTTGAGATTTTGAGCTTGCTGAAGAGAGGGTGCAGTTGCTCCGTTCTTGCATTTGAGCGAGTTTAACCATTGTGTGCAGCTGCAGTTCCTACATGAACTATGATAATGTAGGTGTGTTTCCTTCTTTAAATGCACTTCAATACAATAAAGAAATGTACAATCAATAAATACCATGTTTATGTAAGGAAAACATGTATTTTAAAAGACTCTCTGTACATAAACTTAGACTTTTGCTTTCTCAGAAATGGTAGTTACATTTATGTGTTTTATAAATATTACCTTACACATCTTTTACAGCTGGAGAGACTTGCACTGAAAAGAAGCCTGGATAAGTGAGACTTAAAAATCACTATCCTCACAGCTCCATGATTGTGTTAGTGCAAAGTGTTTCCAGGCTTTTCCTCCCTCTCCACCCCCTCCCCGATTTGTTGTAAGAATAGAATATCTAAACATCACCCCTGCTTGTGAAACTGCATGGGTGGTGAATTGCAAGTCTGAAATTCCCCAGAACAGAGACTGCCAGAAGGGTTATGTGACTTGCCCAGGGCTATCTACCAAGTTAAAAACACCCAGGTGTGAGAGTCTGAATCCTGGACTTGAGATGCATGTTCAAATCTTTTGTAACTGCAGCAGTATTAAAAGGTTTAAAGTTAGACCTCAAGCACTTACACAGTGCTATAGAATCAATAGATAGAAATTTATTGTGGGTTGTTTGGTGGAGGTTGGGTTGGGGTTTGGGGTTTTTTTTTCACTTTTTCTCTTTGTTGTGTTTGTGATTTGTTTTTTGGTTTGTGCTTTTTTTTTTTTTTCTTTTTTTTTTGTCTAGGTTATTACCATGGGTGTTATCCTCTGTCAGTGTATCTCCATGGTTGTCCTCTACAGACTTTTTCTCTCTCATAGTCTATATTGGGAAGTATCTTCACTGTCATCAGTGACATTGCCACTAACAGTATCCTCTGGACATAAAAATCGACATTACTTCTGAGATGTTTAGGAAGAGGACCTTCTGTAATAAATGTGCAATAATGACTTAAATATACACAGGTGTGTCATACATTGGTTTCACTGGAAAAGAGCAGTAATGTCAACACTTCACAGACCTTTGGTGTGACAAGGTCCCTAGATTGATCTGTTAAAAGTATTGTGGAGTAGAAAAATCCATAATTTGAATAATTTCATAAATATTATATGCAGCATGTGGTGTTGAGCTGTATCACGGAAGAGTACAATGAATCTTTTCTCTCCTGTTCACACACACACAAAAAAAGTCCTTGTTTTGTATCAATACAAGGTTCGAAGGTCTTATAAAATGCAGTTCTTAAAACATGTACAAGCTCAAACAAGTCTGAAATAGGCCAGTTGTGAAATTGGCGTGATGTGCAACGATGAGTAAAAATTCCTTTATTTTCATGCTTTAGAGAAAATTCATTTTATGTATAAAAGAAGGGCAAACAAAACAAGTGGAGTCCTCTAGAAAACACCTGTAAAATGTTCCCAACTGGCTGCAAGAAACTTTCCTTTATTATCAGTGTAAAAGAAAAGCCTATTTTGCAACTAATGTTCATAGTGGTTAAAATTTTAATGGGAAGGAAAATAGGGTTTATATCTGCCTTTTTTTATTATTATTATTAAATGTAACTACAAATTTAATCCAGTAATGAAGGTCTAAACAGTATTTGAGGCTTAGAAGACACAGTAACACGAAGGTAGTTAAAACAGCAGGCTTGGATCTTTTAAATAAAAAAAAGGGCAAAGAAAATGGAATGGGTGATGTGGTACTAGAATTTTAATCCTGATATAATTCATTTCTGTTACATTGAGGATTCAATCATAATTAAGCCATATACACAGATTAAATTAACAGAAGCATTTCAAATAAATGTTGGTTTCAGTCATCAACTACCCATGAATTCCTGCCCAAGGATACTTAATCAGGATTAAATTTTCTATGAATAATTGAAAAACAAAATACTCACTGGATTTGTTATAATCCATGTTGGCACTGGGTTCTAAGTAGTTGCCATCTTCCACCCATTGTAATAAAGCCATACTACTTTGTGATGCCCTAGCATTCAGAAAGCCAGTGTAAATGTATACTTTATTGAAGTGCCTATTTATTGAGTATGATTAAATCATGCTGACATTTTCTTTCCTTCATAATAAGAACATACCTGTTGCCATTGTGACTGAAATCTTTCTTTATGGATTTAGTTTAGTGTTTGTCAAATATTAGACTTCTTTTCGTACATGTTTGCTTTTTCACAAAAAGGGGTTTATTTTCTAGTAAATTAATGTTTGTTTCTTCTTAACAGTGTGTATTTAGTTATGTCTCTACGAAAGCGTGAAGACACCGGGGTTCTAGCTTTAAAATAGCCCTAACTTTTCTGTTCATGTTTGCCTCAGTTGTGAGCATAGTTCATATCTATTCCATTTTAGTTTAGAGGCAAAACTAGACATTTGCCTTTGACTAAGGCAAAATGGCAACATGACAAAGTTGCTCATTAAATCATCTCCTTTCTTATTGTTTGTAATTCAGATCAAGAATGGCAGGTTGAGGCTGGAAAAGATGAGATATTATGATTTCACACAATTTTCAGAATGATTAAAAGATTAATTATTACATTCCTCTGATAACCACACAAAAATATTATTGGTTAAACTTCAGTCTTTATTTCCCTGCTTATCTCTGTACTTTTCATCTTCTCAAGAAAAAAGCATCCTGTTTTTTGATAAGTCTCCAATAATGCAGTAGAAGAGTTCTATCTGTCCTCATGTATAAGACATGAAATTCACACATAAAATAGAGTTTTCTGATAGACACAAGAACTGCTTTACAGTTTATGATCCGTTATCATAAAAGTTTTAACCTATGCAGAAAAAAACTGTATGTGACTTTCAGAAGAGGCATTCTATTTGTTTTATTCTCCAGAAGTATTTTTTTTTTTACTTCCTGTAGTCCCTCTGACTTCAATTGGTCAGTATTAAGGTAAACAGTATCTTAATTTCACCTTACAAATATACCCTACAACAACTCATAAAATGAATTCATAGTTAATCTGATTGTAAATACGAAGCATAAGATGTTGTCTCTTTAATCTTTTCCAGATTGTCTCATAAGTCATCTGGTGACATTATCCTCTTAGTTTTGGCATTGAAAATAAAATTTTAATTTTGCTATTAATGTAACTCTAGAGATTAAATACGGCTTCATCATGGTAAGCGGTACAAAGGACATGCATTTCTGCCCAGGGTTTGTTAGTGTTCTTTCAACACCGGTGCTCCCCAATTTTTATGTTACTAAATCATTAATGCATACTGTAGCAGTAGGTCAGTATGACTGCAAAAATATTCAAGATGTTAGTTAATTCGGTACAGAATATCTTGGGAGGCTTCAAGTATGACTAATTTACAAAGCTTCATCCTCACCTGGGCTCTAGCTTGAAGCTTACTGCCTCTGGATCATGCCTGAAGAGTGGTTTTGAGCATATGAAAGCCTATCTCTTCTTCCCAACTTACATCTTCTGTGAAACCAGCTGATAAGACCTTGCTTTTTTCATGCTTATTCACAGTTAACCATTTTATCAATTTGGTTTCATAACATCATCTTGAAAGAATAGCTTCCAGCCTTTTTTCAGTTGTCTTCAATCAGTGCATCCTGCATGGAAAACTTTTTCTTTCTCTTCTTCTAAAATGTGCTTTCTGTCACAAAGAAAAAAGTGTGCTTTCTGTCACAAACTGGGGCTTTTGCATACATCTGAGGAACTCGTGATGCACCCTATGTCAGCTATGCATTAGGTGACAGCAGCGGTCAAAAGCACTCCTGCCGTACGCACATAGCCCCGGTGCATAAGCAGTGTGGGTTTGCGCCCGCTGACAGCGCCACGTATCCAAGGAATTCTCAGGGAGAGCTCCTGCCGCCTCCCCGCTGCAAGGGGCTGAAGTGTGTTCCCCCCAAAGGCAGCGCTGCTGCTGTGGACTGTGGTGAACAGCACTGTTCAGTTGAGGTCAGATGATGACACCTCACTTGAGAGTTTCTGTGCATTCTGCAGTTCTGTTTTGAAGTTGCAGTTACAGAGTATATTGATTCTGTTGCCCGTGCGCTTCAGTGCTCAGAAAAGAGAAGTGCAAATTGAAGTTGGTTGTGCTCTGAAGAAACCCGCTTCTGTGTGTGAGAGGGCATTTCCTTACCAGCCATCACCTTTCCATTGGTATAGATGCCAGTTTGCATCAACTGTGATTGATTGGTTTGGGGAAGGTATCCCAGTTCGGGAGAAATGAGGGTGAGATCACCAACTTGGTCTACAAGACCCCGCACAAGCTGGCAGGAGGGGTCTTCTTGCATTGCTCTGGACCAGCTGTGTGGAGGCTGGAGCAGTTCTAGGTCTCATCACGAGTCTCCTAAGCTATTCACTCCTCTTCTGCGTAGAATGTGGTTGTTGTACGTTTATTTAAAGTGCTTCAGGTAGGAAAACGAATATTTACAATTAAATGTATGTAAATGGAAGTGGGAAGGCTCGATTGGAAAAATATCAAGTTTCTAATACATATTACTATACTAAGACCTCCCACACAAGATAAACATTTATAGTCAGATCTAATGAATATTCCTCTCTGGTTCCTGTGCCAATGGAGAGCCATGGAAGTATCAAAATCTTTTTGTTTGCATCTCGATTCTCTACAGAACTGGAAGAATATTTTATTTGATTTGGCTCTAGTTTATTCTGTGCAATGTTATGCCTCCAGTTAATCCAATAAATGTTTATTGGGCTGGCCAAAGGTGATGCTGTACCTTTTAATTATTCTTGTGTGACTATGCAATGTACAAAAAGCAGGTGATCCTTGCAAATGTTGAACATTAAAAGAGAAAGTATTGAGCTGTTTTTCAAAGGATGGTTCTTTTCTAACTGCGCTGATAGAAGTAGGCTGTGATTTTCCAGTGAACAGTAAGTTCCAATTCCAGTTTTTCTTAAACCATTATTTTCTGCAAATCTTTTTCCTGTTGTGTGAATTCCATCTCTCCCACCGTGCTCTGTCTCTGCCCTCCCCTCTCCCCCTCTCTCATACATATGATTTTGAGTGTAATGGGTGTCATTTCTCTCTCTATCTCTCCATCTGTTCCCACGATCAACACTCACAGTCCAGCCCCTACTTTGCATCTAGTATGCGTATTCTCTTTATCCTTGGTCTGTTTTGATTTCGCGCTTTTCCTGCCTCTCCTTCACCCTCTCTACCATGTCTTTAGTCTCCCTCGCCATCAGAGACCTGAGGGTGTGAGTTGACATCACAGCTAATTCGGGCTGTTAGCTGCCAAAAAAAGAGTGTTCCTGTTTCCCTGGCCACACACTGCCCCAGCTTCCATTGAACTGACACTGGCTGTCACCTACCAGTTTAAGTGAGATACAGCTGAGGAGTTAAACGGGTAGAAAACTCAGCCTTTAACAGCAACAGCAACAGAAAAACAAAATTAGTTCGTGGTGGGTTTAGCTCACCTAACCAGGTCATCAGGATTGCTTGAGTACTGGTAGTGCTGCTTGGGAACAGGGTAGGAAGGGCACATTAAAGAGGGGCAAGATCCCCTTTAGGAGGGCAGCCGCAAGGTCAGTGAGTGTTCTGCGAACTATCAGCCTTGAAACTCCACCTCACTTGCCTGCATGTCTTTTGCTCCATTTTGAGTTCCAAGGATTGGCCTGTACCTTCCCTAAACAGTTTTGTAACAGCAGCATCAGGAGGGGTTTTTTTCCAGCAAGAGGAAAACTGCCTGCTTTGAAGTGTTTCAGATTGAACAGGGTCAGTTGTGCCTTCACAGCCTTACAAAAGGGGCAGGGAGATGTCAGCAGCAGTGCCCCATTTGAGGAAGGAGTTTTCAGGGGAGAAAAGCCAGCCACCATGAAAAGCTCCATGACTTGAGTGAGTGCCAGCTTTTTCAACAGACATCAGCACAATGGTGGAGGGCCAGCAGCAAGGCCGTACGTCTCCTTACAGGGGTCTGCTTGCAGTTAGCAAGAGACTTAACCTGAACAACCACAACCCAGAGAGCAAAAGTTTCCAGCAGCGGGTGCTCTGGAAGGCT